ACGAGTAACGTTTCCACGTCAGGTGTTATGTATGCTAGCAGCAACACACAGAGTTAACTACATTATACAAACATGGGTTAATGATTAGAGGTAACTTAGTTATTTATTTTGTTAAAGTTTCAGCTATTCTGTTTATATTTCTGTCATCAGATTATTTAATATGATTTGTTAAAACATTGTTGTTTCTTTTGATGTGAAATATTATTTATTTTATTTAAATAACAAGCAATGTTAATTTTTTTTTCACAATTTCTTAAGTTAATTTAATAATATATGTATTTTCGAATCAAGTATTCATCTTTATTGTCTTCATTGTTAGTTTCCACATGCCTAAAACAACCTCAAGCTAAATCTAAAAGTTGATGGCTAAATAAGAGCGCTTGAGAAATTGTGCAAGACATGTAGTAATAGTCCGAATAGTCGATTAATCGTTTCATTAATCGATAGATTAATCGAATATCAAATTAGCCGTTTGTTGCAGCCCTATTGTAGTTATCCCATGTATAAATAAAACATGTTATTCAGCAACCCTTGTAATTTGGGATTTTATTTTTGGTTGGTAGACCTCGGTGAGCTGGTCATTTCAAAAGTAGCTCACCAGCCGAAAAAGTGTGGGCACCCCTGGTGTAGGGGTAGGGTGTAGGGTGTAGGGCGTGGTTTGGGATTGGGCCATACACACGCACTTTGTTGGCCCACCCACTTCTAAAAATGTGTAGAGCAGGTCCACCCGGATAAGTGTGCAAAATTTCAGGTCAAACAGATGGTAAGGGCATGTTAGTTTTCATATTTTGGCCAATCCGTTTTACTCCACTTACGTGATTATGTACCTACATGAAAGTACCATCAACAGATTATCTATACCAGCGGTTTTCAAAGTGTGAGGCGCGTCTCCCCGGGGGGTCGCCAGAGAGCTTCAGGGGAGGCGCTATGGAGCTATATCAGGGTCATACGTTTTGATGATTTAAAAAAAAGAAAAAATACAATTTATTTGAAAGTTCAAGTTTTTATCCTGAACTTTCCATCTTCTCCCGCTTATCCGTGGTCGGGTCGCGGAGGTATCAGTTCCAGCAGAGAGCCCCAAACTTTCTTTTCCCTGGCCACATCAACCAGCTCTGACTGGGGGATCCCAAGGCGCTCCCAGGCCAGCGAAGAGATATAATCCCTCCACCTGGTTCTAGGTCTACCCCTTGGTCTCTTCCCAGCTGGACGGACCTGGAACACCTCCCTAGGGAGGCGCCCAGGTGGCATCCTTACTAGGTGCCCGAACCACCTCAACTGGCTCCTTTCGACGCGAAGGAGGAGTGGTTAAACTCCGAGTCCCTCCCGGATGACTGAACTTCTCACCTTATCCCTAAGGGAGACACCAGCCACCCTGCAGAGAAAACCCATCTCGGCCGCTTGTATCCGCGATCTCGTTCTTTCGGTCATGACCCATCCTTCATGACCATAGGTGAGGGAACGAAAATGGAACGGTAGACAGAGAGCTTTGCATTCTGGCTCAGCTCTCTTTTCGTCACAACGGTGCGGTAAAGCGACTGCAGTACCGCTCCCGCTGCTCCGATTCTCACGCTCCATTGTTCCCTCACTCAAGAACAAGACCCCGAGATACTTGAACTCCTTCACCTGGGGTAAGGACTCATTCCCTACTTGGAGTGGACAGTCCATCGGTTTCCTGCTGAGAACCATGGCCTCAGATTTGGAGGTGCTGATCCTCATCCCAGCCGCTTCACACTCGATCCAGTGAGTGTGGTTGCAGACCGATGAAGCCATTAGAACCACATCATCTGCAAATAGCAGTGGTGCAATCCTTAGTCCACCGAACTGCAGACCCCCTCCCCCACGACTACGCCTCGAAATCCTATCCATGTATATTACAAACAGGATTGGTGACAAAGTGCTGCCCTGGCGGAGGCCAACCCTCACCGGAAATGGGTCCGAATTACTGTCGAGGACCAGGACACAGCTCTCGTTTTGGGAGTAGAGATTGGATGGCCCTGAGTAGAGACCCCCACACCCCATACTCCCGCAGCACCTCCCACAGTAACTCCCTGGGAACCCGGTCATACGCCTTCTCCAAGTCTACAAAACCCATGTAGACTGGATAAGCGTACTCCCAGGCCCCCTCCAGGATCCTTGCGAGAGTAAAAAGCTGATCCGTCGTTCCACGACCAGGACAGAATTCGCATTGTTCCTCCTCAATCTGAGGTTCGACAATCGGCCTGACCCTCCTTTTGTAACCTAACTCAAAATGTATCCATTATATATTGTCATTATAATGATCATTTGGCATAATGTTTGCCCTATAGAAAATGTAACGACATACATTACTTCTTGTTGGGATTGCCAATGTGTTCCAATTTGTTCACGTCAGGTCAGGAGACTCGCTTGTTACCAAAGAGAAAAATGGAGGGGAGGTCACAACAACACTGAAATCAATCGGTTTCTTTCTCCTGGGAGCTTGAACGTGTGCTCAGGATTTCCAAATTGGTCACAGAGAAACTTACCAACGGCTTACAGAAGATAAAAACATACTGTGACCCTCTCTTTTCTTTTTTCCACTGAAGTCAGACACACTTTCTACATTCTTTGCCTTGCCATTGTTGAAGATCGTTTTTGTTTTATGTGTATATCAGTCTCGGCAAAAAATCTGTGGAATAATACCTTCAAAAATCTGATTGTCTATCCTTAATTTTCAGGACATTATTCTAGTTTGTCTTGATGGTTTTTGTGTCTTATGTTAAGGGATATGGAATGGATGATATAATACATTCAGTTTAATATCAATCATGTTTTAGACTAACACATTTTAACCATGTTTGGCAGGTATAAAAGGATCATTTTCATTATTTTGTATATTTTGGTATGTAAAAGGTATGTGAAAGATACCAAAAAAAAGACATAACCTGGGTTCGAGCATCCTCTTTAAAAATATATATATATTGTCCGTCTGTTTCCATTCCAACAAAAAACAAACAAATTATATCAACTTCAGCTGTTTTTATGTGAACCTAAAGGAGATACAAATGAAGCCAAAGTCTTTTTAGATCAACCAATCAAATCCGCTAAACTTGAGCCAACAGGGGGCCAACCTCTTACTGCCGACCCCTCTCACCCCTGCAGGTGATCCAGTTCAGTGGGTCACACACTCATCAGGAAATGTGCTCGCCTGCTGCGGTAGGTCAGCAGCGGAAATGTGTGTGAGAGTGTGTGTATAAAGCTCACATGGGACCTCTGCATTATCTCTCCAGTAGTAATGAGGTATGAGGTGTCAGCGGGGGTCAA